TATACTTCAATTTTATGCTGAACAAGTCCTGGCAGAGACGTTTAACGTAATGGCTAGTTAAATAACATTGGTACTGGTCGTGATATCTAACACTAAGCATATATCACAAGTGTTTCAATTCAGCTGTCCATAGGAAAGAGAAATGTCCACCTTAATTTTCTCCTGGACAAAACGTGGTCTGATTTAAGAGTGGCAAAGTTCAACTGGCACAAGTCCTAGTTGGAACAATTTGTTCTCGTTCGATTTAAATCGCCCTTATATAATTTTGTGAAAATTGGTGGCGGCGTTTACCGTTGATGAGACCAACTTGTGGTATTTATTACTGTCGTGGAATAGTAAATTCCTGGAAGGCGTTGGCATATTTCGCAAGTTCCGTAATGCGACTAGGAAGCTACATTTGATGGAATGCGCTCAGACGACGACATTCCTCGGTTCCTGCTAGCGTGATGTGCCCCGGGGCTCAAACTAGACAACATTATTATCTTTATAGTGTGCCGGATTCGCAAATGCTTCTTACGTGTTTGTCGCAACGGTTTTTACCATTCCCCGAATTAACAACAGAAAACACTTGGAAAACGTACGACTCATAACTAATAGTAAAATATTCATAAATCTAGGATGAAAACCCAAAACCTGCTAAACAGGAACCAATTTCCAAGATAAAAATTATTGTTAAAAAAATAAAATAAGAAAATACCTGGAAGAAATAGTTACCTACTTTTTAATAAATACGTACAAATACAAAAAAAAATTATTTAAATTAATATCCCAAATTATTTGCTTATAAATAACTTTTTCAGTATACCTACTAAAAAATCTTATACATCACACGACCGGTAAACGCTTTATTATGACCTCGCTGGTTTACTGGTAATTCACTAGCGCGTCCATAAAAACCTACCATTTTTTCGAAAGCGATATTTTTTTGAAATAGAAAAACAAAAGAAACTGTGGTCGTGAATTTATTTGTCACATTTTTGCGAGGTGTTTATTGAGAGTTTCGACCAGAGAAGAGCGACAAACGCGTTTTATGTTAACAATAATTGCAGTTTTAAGTTCAAGTCTGATCGGTATTGTTTACGTTTGGTTATTAAACTTATCCAATTTTGTAATAAATTGCCCATTGTTTTACAAGTACAGATGTCCACGTACGTGGACATTGTGATAGCGTATCGTGAATATCATAAAAACTGTTCCAAATGTGTTTTTCAAGATATTGTTATTAATTGCTGTGCAGTGTCTTTGAGATCACGGATTAGATCAAAATAAACATTTTGGTGAGTTATACGAAATTTACAATGCACAAATTAATCCGGTTCTTATTACGTTTTTGTCTTGCATGGAGTGTGAAAGCCATGAAGTTTCAAATCGTTTAACAATAAACAGCTAGTATTTGTGTGATTATGTCAAAATAATTATTCGAAAACACTGTTCTTGCACACAAACTTAATGACAAAATATATATTTATTGTTAAAATAATAATTATTAATGAAGATTAAACTTAGGTATTTTCGAATAAAATTAAAAACAACTATAAAATTGTTTGTTTTAACCGAAAAACAAATCATCATTTTTCAATTGATTTTGTTTAGTAGCTGTATGGGTGACATGATACGTAGTAACTATTACGTTTTTGAAAAAATGGTACATAAAAAAATTGTTGTCTATGGTGGACTCTACACGTGGTTAAAACTAGTGCATTTATTTCTGTTACACGTGATAGGTATATAGGTGAGCTCAATGCAATAAACAAACCGTTTAAACATAAGTAATGAAAAATTTTAATGTAGTACCTACAGAACACTTTTCAAACAAATATTTTATAAAAATTTTAAATTATACAGGATATAATGTATAAAGTATGGAACCAAGCGTTTTTTTTTAGTAATTTTTCTCCAGAAAATAATAATTAATATAAATTAAAGTAATATAAAAAATGTGATCAGATTTTGAGAACAAAATTTTGTTTTGTTTTTGGGTTATGCAATTTTTTTTGTCAAAATTGCAATTTATGTAACTTTTGTTAATTAAATATGAAGTAAATAATTGTAATCCTCAGATCATAACTTTCATGAGAGAAATGGTTTTATAGTGGGTTGCCGTTTAATAAAAAAAATTGTAGATAAAAGAAAACAAAATTTCGAAAAATTATATTCTTGGTAAAACATCACATTTTTATAGTACTTTATCATTCATCAATTAATTTTTTTTTAATAAATAGTTTAAACAAACAACGTTTGGTTCCATACTTTTTGAATAAAAAGGAAGTATGGTGAATACCTGGTATAATCTAATAAAACGTAAATTATTGTTTCATTTTTGTTGCTAAAAATTACTTCAGTAGTCGTCGTATATACTAAAATTCTTACTTTTTTCATTTTTAATTTAATGTATTTTTTATTTCTATTTTCATTAATTATCATTAATCATTAATTTTATTTAATTCACTAAGTAGGAATTAATGTCTGCATAAATATAACACAGAATTTGTTTTGAAAACAATTAGCTCTTCTTCAGTAATTTTTCTAATCTAATGATTGCCTTAAAGACGTTAGTACTTACCACAATGTCTTATGTTGTCCACAGAAAAGTTTTAAGACTGATTTTTAAACGTTGTATAATGGTCAAAAATACAACTTGAAAAATCTTATAATAACCCAAACTGGCTACTCAGAGTGAGGTTGTTTAAAAACACCTAGTAAACAAAAAAAAACAAGCTAATTTTAGTTATAATAGTAATTTTGAAATATAAAACAATTTTGCTCAGATAAATGTCTTTATATTATTTTGTTTGAGATCCAAAACTTTTGTTTTCATCATCACTGAATAAAGCAATAAAATGGATAAAAATTCGCATTGTTGCGAAAGCCGTAACCATAAAATGTTTATGTTTCTTGACCGCGTTTTGAGCTCCCGCTCATATATCTCTATTAGATTGTTAAATTGTCCATAGTATGTCGTGTAGCAATCAAACATTAAGTATTCAAGCAAGACCACGCGGGGCATTTATCACTCTTGGCCTGATGCACGCTATCCGACTATCCGGCGACTCCACCATTTCTCTTCATCAATGTCTTCCCGTTCTGCGTGATCGTACTATGTCCTTATTGGTTTCTTTCTCTCAACTAGAAATTAGAACTTATATTACCTTTGGTAGCGTCGATTATCGTGACTATAATTATTAAAGCAGGGTGGCGAAGTGGGAACTGCGAGATACCTTAAAACTCATTAGGTGGATTTACGACGTTGTCAGAACTAATATCCCGTATTAATGAAGAACAAATTGACATTTTTCAGGGTGCGTGCTCATTGCGTATGCGGAGTCACGCTCAGGGATGGAGTCAGAGCGAGGGGATGGCGATGGTAGACCTGCACACGTAGCTGCATGCGTGAGCCACATTCTCAAACTCACCGCCTAAGCGGCCATCGAGATCTATGATGAATATGCATACGCTTCTTATTCAAATTTATAGAGCTTCGCCTCTCTAAATGCCCGAAATGACGATGCTTTCCCAGAGATTGATTGGGATGCATGCATACTGGACTGTGACTAGTTACAAATGCATAAGCTAATCAAGATCGTAATTTAAGCCGGGAATTGCATTCTAATATTGATTGTAATCAGCTATTTCGGATATTCGGATATTTTCATACAGAGGTCAACATGTGTTATTAAATTCTCATCAATATGCACTGTTTATTGCCATCTATTATATGCATGTGATTGCAATCCCTTATGAAAATTCATCATTCCGTCATATTTACACGTTTTTGAAGGTTTGATTCCATCAATGGATGTGCTGACGAAGTGACGACAATATGACTAAGTCAAGAAAGCACTTGTGTATGCAACGCATTGCTCTAATCAGAAATTTTGCAACAGCAACTTGTAGAATAATTTCCATTGTCTCCCACAGCCTTTCCGTGTCCATAATTGATAATAATAATTAGAGGTAGTCTCTCTTTCTAACTAATCTTCACATCCGATCTACTGGTTTCTTTCTTCTATTACTTCTTTTTGTTAGAAAATTTTCCATTTTTTCTGTTAAAGTTAAAAATGGAAGCTCAAACCAATGCTACAACACAAAAAACAGCAAACACGTTCAAAAGTTAACATATTTATAGAACAAAACAAAACATTATTTCGGTGTCTATACATAACTAGTTTAGAACTTGTTTATCGTCATTTAAATCAAATGGTTCTTTGTCAAAATGATGCATATTCGATTTATTCTTAATGATGGATACAGAGAGGAGATGATGTGTGGATTAAAAAGGTGTAAGCATCACACATTATAGATCCGTGCTCGAATAAAACACAATAAAACCGGAAATAAATCATGCGCCTTCCAATAAACAACGTTTTACTGCATCCGCTCTTACGGCAGCGCACCTCTGGTCATTATGATATGTGGGGTCCATCTATTCCAGGGCAAGAAACCGCACAACACTCTATCAAATTGCATGCAGGTTGTAATAATCCACAAGGATTAAACTGTGAAATGAACGTATACGAATTTAGTCGGGACTCGGGGGTGGAAGCATCCCCTCCGGTAGGGGTAGATTTGCGGTGTGAGGCAATCAGCCGTCTGACAGCGATGAGGGATGGCGCTACCAGGTGTTGCATGCATGCCGAACAAGAGCGAATTTTTGTCGGTGAAATAATTAATAAAAATTTGAATAGTGGAAATGAAAGAAGGGAAAAATCTTATGTCGTCTAGGAGAAAGACAGAGAAAAAGGATATTTATGTGTCGCTACTTAAATTGGAATAGAGCGTACTTCATTGGTATGCATTGAGGATTTATACAGGCATGAAGCCAAAAACATTCATCAAGGTGGATTTAACTGAAACTCTGATTCATTGCAGCTCTAATATATGTTCGGCTTCAGCATGCACCTCGCTGAAAATTATTATTTACTGAAGCTGATTGCTTTCCTGGCTACTGAACAAATACAACTTTTTCGTCTTTGTTCGTTGGTTTAAATGAAAAAAATGGATTAGAACATGACTTTTATTAAAATAAATTACAGTCACACATAGACGACAGAGAAGGTAAGGAGCGTATATTACATGGAAAAAGAATCTTTGAGCAACAAATAAGCAACAAAATGTCGATAAAAACGAGAAAGAAAAACAAACAATACTCTAGATGAACAGTATACATTTTATCCTTACCCTATGAAAATTTTACAGCTTATGTACAAAGTTTTAGGATTACGAAGATGTAGCTTCAGCCCAAACACACTGGTTTGCAAGGTACAGAGTTCCTCTGTATAATTAGTACATTTACGTATACATTTCTTGTACTTTCGTTTCAAACAATTAAACTAAAGAAAACACGTCTTAAAATATTTTTCTCTTAAGCACTATTTTAGGTACGTACGCACAGGTTGCATAAATTCTTAAAAGAGGTTCACTTTAAAAATTTTCATATTTACATTATGTTACACAAAATAAAATTTTTATAAATTAGTACAAGCGGTGCTCTATAAAAATAGCAAAAAAATCGTCTTGTATTATATACAATTCGCAATTTTCCAATGTGGCTGGGCATAAATAGCATCGTAATATTCGACAACATCGATAAACTGCAGCAGCCATTCGAAAATTTCCTTACAGTTTACACAGTAATTATGCTTATATTTATAATTGTAAAGTAACAAAAAAATAGAGATCCATAATAAATTGCAAATGTTTTTAAGTGGACAAACAGGTTCAAGACCACAAAAACATTTTATGACTGGTTTTGAACAATTTTTGTGTATTTTGTGACCTTTGATGACCACAGCTACCGAAACATTATGTACATGAAACATTTTCTAATAGAAAAAATACTCAGTCACTTAATTATAATTTAGACCTTACATCTACTAGGATTATAATTTACGTATATCGTTAACTTTTCCTCAGAATTATGGCACATAAACCCAATTACGTATATAGTTGATCGCACATCTCTCCAGTTCTCCCAAAACGAAAAAAAACTTCAAAAAATATCGTCACTGTAACATTCAATTACTTTGGATTATAAATACACTAACCACTAAAGTATACACATGTCACAAGTCCAGTTTGGCGTAGGAGCAGTTCTCAATGGTCCGATTTAGTCGATGAGGCCGGTGGTTGGCGACAACTTCCCGGTCGAAGGCCTGAGGCATGCCGTGTGTCAGGACTCTGCAATAATTTCAGTCATTTAGTAACGCCAATTCTAATCTAACACTAAAACTAACAAGCCTCAAGCTTTCGAGAGGGTTGACCCCAAACGTTTTACACCGCATTCTCTTGCACAACACATTGCATGACTTTGAGGCTTCAAACGCTTCTATCCTACGGTTTTTACAGAGGATAACCCATAACTTACGTGTCGACGGATTTCCAAATATTATTTATGGAACCGAACCATGATTTATTAAACCACGAATCAACACGCGCATAAAATATTGAACCGAGACAAGACTCGTGGGGAGAACCAGATACCACAACAATTACCACCGCTAATTGCACAATAAAACAAAAAACTCATTCAAAATACAAAATTTCAAGCCATTTGAGTTGACTTAAAATTAGGTAGTTAATTCAAAATTAAGCAACAATTGAAATTCGTACTAAGATATTGACCTATTTTTAAGAAAATGTGGAATCTCAATTTTTTGTAATATCTTTGAATTAAGGTTACTTGAAATATACCTAAAACATCTAAAATATAAGCCGATTATTTAGTTAATTTCCACTTATTTAGTTATTTAATTTGGTGTTACCTTATGACTACTGAACTTGTCCACTACTTTGTTGTGACATTTTATACGTGGGTATGTATTTAATCTTAAAACTCGGAAGTAATCAATCAATCTAAAAATATCATGTCTAGAAACAAACAATTTTTAAAAACAATAATTCTAATTAATAGCAATTTCTGTTGCAAATGTGCAGTTTTTTAAAATTTTAAAATTCGTCCCTGAAGTCAAAGACAATTGTGAAAAAGGAATTAGAAAGTGATAGGTACAGACTTTTTAGATTTTATTCTATTTTAGTCAATAATCATCTTTATACGCCCCCAAATGAGGGCGTAAATTGGTTTTTATAGCACAGATCTGTCAAAAATCTGACAAGCAACGGTTGGCTTAAACTTGGCATATTCTTTCATATACAAATCCTTTGATTTATGGAGAATCAATTTTCCCTGAGCAGTTTCAAATTCTTGTAAAATTTCTTCTGAATAAACAATTTCTGCTTCAGAAACGTTCATTTTGAAAAATAATTATTTTTTTTAAACAAATGCAGTAACCTTAACAACATCAAAATAGCTAACTTTTTACACAACACTAAAATTTGCATGGACACAAATTTTAGTTGATTTCCTTCTAAATATTTGTTTGAATCTTTAAGAAATTATAAAATAGAATAAAACGTTGTATGTATCACGGGCATAACTGTCGATTATGGCCCTTGGAAATTTAAAAGCACTCCTTCCTCGGGCTTTAAACATTCCCTCATGTCATAATCTCTTAATTATGCCCTTAATACATAAATAACTATTAATTTTTAGCTCAAATCTTTGAAGACAATTCAAAAACATTTTTATATATTTAAATATCCTAGAAATAATCAACATTGTAAGTATCGAGCGATCAGGATAATTTGTAATCGAATTATCTTGACATCCGAAAACGTTTGTCTGTTTTTGAACTAACTGCACATGAAACGCCATATAAAATGACACGTCGACACGGCAAAATTGGCTGGTCGCCGAAGTATAATAACGTATTATAATATAAGTTAAATGAAAATGTAATTTTTTTAATAAAAAAATTTACAAACCATTTTTCAACTATTTTTCAAAATAAAATTATTTTATAAATTAATTAAAATACAAAGTGATCCACAATGACTGAATATGTTGGCAATCCTGACAGTTTACCAAAAAAATTTATTACATTAATAATAATTTGTTTGCTTTGTAAATTGTAAATTTCATCTTATTAATGCATAATTTTCTTTAAGAAATGTTTTTTGTTAAATTGTCTATTTATAAAACTAAAGATTTTTATTTAATATAAAAGTACGAGTATTACAATTATCAAAAAATAAATTTTGTAGCAAAACTAAAATATTTGAAATAATTTTACCGTTTTTTTCTTGGTTTAGTTAAATAAATAATTTTGATTT